CACTCGGCGAGCAAAGTTGACAGACAGTGACCATGGATACGGCCGAGATAAAGCGAGAAGGAGAGAGAGAGAGAGAGAGAGAGAGAGAGAGAGAGAGAAGCTGGAGATAAAGATGAGTGTTATGTGTCCGAGCACTGGCATCGGAGTGAGAGATTTTATATTTGTTGTTGTTGTTGTATGGATTACGTTTTACATTTTTTTCGAGGTCATGTCTTTTTTCAGGGTTGATATCAATCATTATTAACCAAGAAGACTCATAACTTTGCAGTAAAAATGAAAATGTTGGTGTCAAAATAGCACAAATTTCAACGCAAAACCTTTCTTTTAACTAAATATAGCTTTTATATATGTTTAATTCAGTGATCTTTTTAACCTTTGATAGTAGCAGCTATAGATACTGCAAGAAAGGGGCCAAAATACTTTACTTTAAAAAAGACAAATTGGCAAAACGCTAAATATTGGATCCATTAATCAGACGGGTCAATATTCAGTCAACCCTGCAGCACCGAGGTCGACCAACCAGACGCTGCTGGACACTCCAAGATCTACGTTAGGAACTTTTAAATCGACCTGCCTCTTTTGGTTGGTTTTGATTTAAGTGACTTCTTTGCTTATTTCGTTCTATCCTTTATTCTTATTCTAATCATTTTGTTAGACTTTCCTTTCAGTCATTGTGTTATATTTTAATTGCACAACACTTCAGCTCAACTCCTGCTGCTTTTAAACGTGCTTTAGAAATAAATGTGGCCAGATTCCCAAACTCTACTGTCCATCTACAGTAACATCACATAAAGAAAAGCAGAAAATCATCACCATCTAAGAAGCTGTTTGGATTTTTTTCCCTCACAACCTCACCGGTTAATTAATTATTGACATTAATGTTCTGACTACATCAATGTTTTTTTTTTCTTTTTGTTTGTATTTTAACATAGAGGAAACCGAAACCTGAGGCAGTGATGTCGAACATCAGCTCCAACCAGACAATCTACTGAAAAAAAAAACATAAAAGAAAATCACGGAGAGGCAAACACGGCCATGTCTCTCAGCTTCTCTTTCCTCTCTCTCCTCTTTAATCTGACACCCCCCCGTCCGTCTGTCTGTCTGTCTGTCTCTCTGCCTCTCTGTCCCCCTGAGCTGTGTTCTGTGTGTTCTCTCCCCGCTTCCCTCCGTCTCCCTGCCTCTAATGTGCTTTGGCGTGTGTTACCCACGGGTGCCTGCGCGCCGCTGCCGCCATCCTAAAGCCGGGTCATGGGGGCAGCTAAAGCGGCGCGGTGCTGTCTCTGACATCATCAGTCGCTGCCATTACTCACGTCTCACCTCCCCTCACTGTCTGAAACTGCCGGGGCTTTAGGTGCTCGGTGGCGGGACCGGAGGACACACACAAACAAACGGAGATTTACGGCACTCGGAGATAAGTGAGATGTTATTTTAGGAGCTTAAAATTCTGTTCTGTGATTTAAAAGAGCTGCGTAAATATAGGTTCACATATATCTTGACACTGACATGAGTGTTTAGTATGTCTTCTGTTTGGTTAAACTTTTCTTTCACTGGTACGGAATACTAGTTTTGACCCAAATGGACAACAGGAAGGACACGGCAATTAAACACAGAGTAGTTATGATGGCGCCCTGTCAATTAATGCAGCAACAATTCTGATAATCATTTTAAAAGTCAGCAGTCTCTGATTTCATCTTCTTGGTTTTTTGGCTCCTCTATGACAATAAACTGAATATCTGGATAAAACAACAAAAAAGTTCCTTGGGAAACACTTTTTAACCATTTTGTGGACCAAACAACTAGTTAAATAATCGAGAAAATACTCGTAGTTGCAGCCCTACTGTCAACTACAGTACAGCATGTGAAATTGCTTTTATACTTATATGCATTTAAGCTGAAATTTTTTATTTTTTTCCCAGTTAATCAGTGAATGGGTTAGCCACTAAAATGGTTTCAAACTAGTGAAACATGACATGTTAGCATGTGTTCCAGGAAGCCAAACCAAAATTACAATGAAGAAAACTGCAAATTTCCACATTTCAAAAGCTGGAAAGAATTTTGAATCTTTTTAATGGTCTGAATGCACAACAAGAAGGACACGGCAATAAAGCTGATAATTAATAACATGACAGAGTAGCTATGATGGTACGCTGTCAATTAAAGCAGCAGCAATTAAGCGATTCATCGCCAACTATTTTGATAAGAATTTTAATAGTCAGCAGTCTCTGATTTCATCTTCTTGATTTTTTTGCTCCTCTATGACAATAAACTGAATATCTGGATAAAACAGCAAAAAAAAAAGTTATTTGGGAAACACTTTTTAAAAACCATTTTATGACATTTTATGGACCTAACAACTGATTAAATAATCGTAGTTGCAGCCCTACTGTCAACTACAGCACAGCATGTGAAATTGATTTTATATTTATATGCATTTAAGCTGAAAATATATTTTTCCAGTTGATCAGTGAATGGGTTACCCACTAAAATGGTTTCAAACTAGTGAAACATCACGCGTTAGCATGTGTTCCAGGAAGCTAAACCAAAATTACAACAAAGAAAACTGCAAATTTTTGAATTCTGAATCTTTTTAATGGTCTGATCTTTATACTAAACATGTGCTTCAACACAAGCAGTCACATTACTGTCGTAAGGGTTAGTTTCTGAAATGCTAAGTAGAGTTTTTTTAATGGAATTAAAACTTCCCTCAATTATTAATTCAGTGGACGACAAGACTGTCAATAAAAGAGTTCAGGTAGAAGAAGGTAGTTATGTTGTTGTCATTCATTTTTTTATTCTGCTTTTACCTGATGTATGCATATATTTATTTATTCCATTTTTTCCTGTTTGTCTGCTTGTGTTGGCTGCAACATGGGTGACATAGCCCAAGATAAATTTCCCACGCCTGGGACATTAAAGTTAATCTTGAATCAAATAAAAGTAGGGTAACTCTGCTTCTAAAATTTCTCTGCCTCGTTATTATCTCGTCACGTCGTAATTTGTGACCAAAGCAAACACGAGTTAAAGAAATTACGCCACGAGTGATTTTTGCATGTACTTGGCCAAGAAGAACAAGAGAATCTCCAGATGTTTTCTGCATCTGCACGAGGTATTAAAACCGCACACATCTGTGCAAAAGCAGGAAATGTGCTTCCAGTCAGGGAGCATGTGTGTGTGAGGATCAGACTGTGTCAAATCGCCACATCTGCCATCAGCGGTTAACACTCGGGTACCTGGGGGTCTGTCTGTCTGTCACCCCTGCTGTCAGCCAATGAAGAGGTGAGACTCTGCAAACTCCTCCAGTCAGGAATACAGATAGCTGCTATGAAAGCCCTCGGCCTGTGCGTGGGAACACACTGTATAAATCATACATGACCAGCACCACCAGGCACCGTGCACATTACCGCGCCGCATTAAAAACAAGCACGGCCAGCAAACAGACAACGTATACGTCTTTTCTGTCTCACTCCCCTGCACTCCTGACACGTCCTCTTGAAAGCACCTGCAGCACTGAACTCAGAAAATGAGAGAAAGGAGGGGAAAAAAAACAAAACTGGAAGGTGAAGGGTTGGAGAATGGATAAACCAGACGACAGTGACAGAATAATAACGTTTGGAGTATAAATACCTAAAGGCACGAATAGCTGAAGAAGGAAAAAAACACAAGCAAAGAAGTGCACGGGGACAAATAAAAGACAGAGCGAGGAGCGAGAGAAACACGAGGCAAAGTAGGACAGCGAAATAGATGGCGTGACTGAAAGACAGACAGACAGATTAACTAAAAGAGACACCAGAGAGACAGAGACGGACAAAGAGCGAGCAGCGAAAACAAAAGATGAAACGATGAAATTCAAAAGAAAGGGAGAGGAGGAGAGAAAAGGACAGACTTGGAGGCAAACAGAGAGGAAGAGAGGCGGTGCGAATGCTGAAATAGGTGGCAGACTCTTGTCAGTGCAGTGACCTAGTCGCGAAGGACTGAGGAATTCTCCCTGTTGACCCGGACACATTCCTCCGGTCCTCAGACGTTAACCCATGCCGCTCCGCCGTACTGTACCGCAACCTCTGACGCCGACCCACCAAAAATGTCACCTAAAGCGTCTCCAACACACACCTGCTACACACAGTTCATAGAGCAGCATTAACATTTCTGAGTGGGTGCTGCGAATAGATTTGAAAATCTAACAAATAACCCGCAGCGGCGTATTTACAACGCACTTTATGATGACGGTGGCAAGGTGCTACAAATCTCTGAGCAAACACCTTCAGCAAGATTTGAAATATCAGGTAAAGTGCACAGCTCGAGCAGCTCTGAATCAACAGCCTGCGCCGCCTGCGGAGAATCGTGTGCATATGTGTGCATAGGGCCCTGCGAAAACATTGTGAAAATATCAGGGCAAGAAGGGCTCTATTGTGTCGCAGAGGCAGAATGTCGCTCTTATTCTCAGGCTGCCGGTCTGGGGGCATGGGGTGACATCAGCACAAAGACAGAAATGTAATGTGAGGCATCTCCAAAGCTAGCTTCAAGGCTAGACCACAAGCCTGCCTTTATGCCCACACTCTCTCACTTTTCAACAACATCTGATAATCGGGACGTGACCAACTGATGACCCTTCCACTTGTTGCTTACTAAGATAAGTCACAGCCGGCGGTGTTGCACCAGACCGCCCTCGAAAAAGGGCGTGCGAGCAAAATGAAAAGATTGTCCCCTCGCTGCTTTCACACGGACGGGCCCATGGCTAGCACATATCTGCGAGGTTAATCACGACAGAATGACTCAGGGAAGAGTAATTCAATTATTCTGATGGTGCATTGACGTTTCGATCGGGCCACGGACTAAAATGGCTGACCAAGTGCTCCTGACTGCTGAGTGCCATTAAGCAAAACTCTGGCCGGTAAAGATTTTACTCAAACCGATGCAGAGCTTGAACTCGTTTTTTTTGGAAGGATTAACACAAACTAAAGGATCTGTTGCTTAAAAAAACAGAACTTTAAATTCATCCTTACCTCTTTAAAAGTCAGGTCTTGAAGTTTTGGTTGTCTGAGGCTCAACCTGAAAAAAAGACAAACACATGTTAGATTATTGAACTTGTATTACTCAAAATGTGAAGACAGTACTTTAATTTATTAAAAAACAGAAATATTATTTATTATAAACCTCAATCTGGCCCCATTCTTGATTTGAATTCACGTTCAACTGCTTAAAAAATGTGAAATAATACACCTATCATCATTTTATTTGCTCGTACAGCTACTTCCTGTTTCATTTCATTGCACTATTTCCATTTCACACCATTGTTGTTGCTGTTGCCCGACCACTAGATTGTCAGATCTAGGAAAAAAAAAAAATCCTGCAGCACAAATTCAAACGTGCTACACACACAATGGCAGCTTGCATGGGAATTCCTGAGGTCTGTTCGATCCATTAATGTATGCTGCGGTTGAATGTAATCAATTATGAATGAGAAACACACGAGATTCAAAGGGAGCGGGCACAGAATCATGGGAAGTAGTAGGCTGTAGTATCTCGGATATTTGTAGCACGTTTTGTGAAAGCTAGCGTGGAGCGAGCTAATCTTGGACGTTCTTTTATTGGGAAAATTTAATCAGGGGTAGTTTTGAGCTAATCTAGGTTGTAGGAGCGAGTCTTTGACTCAAAGAGGAAGTGCTGCACGTTGGAAAATACATAAAAATTTATATAGAATTACTAAAAAAGACAAGCAGCTGCTGTAGGTGGGGTTAGTCCACTTCCTCAGCCTTCAGGCGTCATGTACAGATACCACGGTATCTGTGTGCAGCTGGGGTCTCTTCCCCTTTAAGTCCCAGGTATTCAGGAGTGTGTTGACCCTGCCAGTGAGTTCATACCATAAGCAGACCCATATAGCTTCTCCTCCAGAGCCCCTGATCACGAGCCTGCTGAGCTGCCGCCTCAGTTATGTAAGATTACATAACACCAGGTCTGTCTGAGTAATATTTCATAACCTGGGGGTCCCACTGCACTGACATTACCACCAAATCCCCCTCGGGAGAGGAATCAAAGGTGCTAGGCAGGTTTGGCAGCGCGGAAATCAAATTTAAAAACAAATACGAGCAAGTAGAGGGCTCTGGGGAGATTTATCTCTCCTAGCCTCTCCTGAGTTTTTCGCTGACGAGGACAGATGTTTGATTCGTGCCAAATTTTTTTTAACATCAAAGACTTTTTCCCTTCTTGAGAGCTCGAGCGGAGGTCACGGAGAGGTTGACCCGGGGACGCTGCTGCTAAACAAAAGCGTCCCCCCCCCGCCCCCATCGGCTTATCAGAGAACGCAGTGATGCTGTCTGCTCATAAATGTCGTATTAATCAAATCACTGCATATGAATTGATTCAGCACACATTTAGACACCGACTATTATTGTTGAACTAGGCCAGCAACTGTTATTCAACGGTTTCGGCGTCGCCATTAGCTTCGTTTTCACCTTATCGACGATGTGTGTTTTATTGAAACCCCTTTAATCGAAACTCATCCGACCACTATGTCCTCACATGACTTCAATAACCCCGCTTGATGATACACAAAGATTAGGAACCAGCAGAAACTAGCACGAAACAATCCAAAGTGTTTCCGAGATCGTCGTTCACACCGACGTCGACACGAACGATACCAGCGAACAATCTGGGATTCAGATAACAACTGTGGCAAGTGATACAGAAAATGTGTGCAGAGATAACAGGAGGTTTGTGTAAATAACAGAAGAAAAGAGCAGGGCGAGCAGATGCATAAGAGAGGAGGTGAAAAAAAAGAGAAAGAAAAGAGATGCCCGGAGATATCTGAGGCTGATACCGCGGTTGGGAAAAAAAAGGTATATTCGATGCTGGACTGCAAATGGATGATAGCAGCAGACTTGTGCCTCGTTTCTAGCGCGCAGCGTTAAGCCGACTGTACTTACCGTACAACAATAATTTCACATAATCCACTGCTGTCAACATCTTTACATCGCAGATACGCCGTAATGTGCGCTAAAGCTTCTGCCTTTGCCTAAACTTAACCACTTCAAACAAAAAGTAATCTGCGCATGTTGCAAAAAAGAAAAAAAAAAAGTTGCTGAAACTGTCTAGTAAATCCGCCTTTATCTCTCGGCTGATACCGAACCACATCTTGGACGGTGGGTTTTGTCTTCTCGGGGCGAACCGACAGATAGATTGGGGGATACCCGGATGAACGGATGGAAGATGGGATAGAAAAAGGGGGGAGAGGCATGGGAGGTGGAGGAGTGAAAAAAAAAAAAATCTACAGAGAAGAAGGAAACCCTGCACTGTACGTAAAAAGCATCCCCACCTCACGCCTCCTTCTCGCACCTTATCTGGCATTTCTGTGCATTTTGTGATTACCGACGCGGCACAATCGCTCCCTAAATATGAAACGCGATTGTGCGGATCCACGCATGCGTAAGGAGGAGTGACCACCACCGCCGCCGCCGCTGGCTCCCGAAACTCTGGATCCGACACATTAACGCACACATGCACGGGTACAAACGACTAACACTGATAGGTAGAACGCACGTTAGCCTGCCTCCTCCTGCCTCCCGTGCATGGGCCCCCTTAAAACTGGGTGCACTCGGTGATCCCTTCCCTCATCTAAATGTGAGCAGAGGTAATCCTTGAAGGAGAGGCAAAGAGAACAGCGATAACCCACGATAAAGAGGGAGAGAGAGAGAGGGTGAGGGCGAGAGGTGGAGATGGGATAGACGAACAGGATGGGGGGATTAGCAGCCTAGGGAACACATTTTTCAAACGAGAAAGAGGAAAAAAAAAAAGGAGTTGAAAAATGAAGTGAAGGTGGGGGAGAAGGAAGGAAGAAGGAAGGAAGGAAGGAAGAGAGAATCAGGGGGAAAAAAAGGACATGTGCATACAGTATACTCACACATGAATGAGAGGGTGGTGGAGAAAAAATCATAGCAGCAAACAAAAAATCAGAGGCAGCCACAGAGTTGTGGAGAGAAGTCCAGTTTCGTCTCATTCTGGAGTTTTGTTTTTTCTCCTTTTTCCCGCGATTTCGGTCAATTCCTATCCAGCCGTCCCTCCTTCCTAAGTCTATCCCCTACTGGTCCTTCCTCTCTTCCCCCTCCCGTTTTTTCTTGCCAGTGCCGGTACTCTCTCTCTCTCTTTTTTTTTTCCTCCTACGTCTCCCTCTCTTTCTCAGTCTTTCTGGCTTTTTCTCCCGCAGACCACGCTCTTCCCCCTTCATTCTTTTCCTTCATATGTCCATTCATCAGACATGACTGTTTTTCTTCAAACCCCCTCGGCTCCCGCTACAGATTTGTCTAAGCAGAGTTGAAAAAATACTGCAAGAAGGAAAGAAAAAAAAACTGTTTACAGGAAAGGACTTTTTTTTTTTTGGTGGCATGCAGTCTAGTTGCAGGGACAAATCCACACGGCCTGCGTTTCTTTTTTTTCTATTTTTTTTTTCTTTTCAGGGGACGCCACGAACGGTGAGGAGGGTAAGAAGCCCTCGAAACATGAGGGCACAACCGAAAGCAAAGAAAACGGCAAAGAAAAAGGGAAGGAGGAGGCAAAAAAAAAAAAGAAAAGCTCATTGCGGTCGGTCTCCAGTGAAAGTGGATAGTAAGCGAGCATGAGGGGAAATGAGTGGGAAGGAGTCCGGGGCGTGTGCATGTGTGTGAAGAGGTGGGAGGGGAGTAAAACGAGAGAAAAAAAAAAAAAGGAGAGCCGGAGAGAGAAAGAGTGGAGGTTAATGGAGAAATATCCAAGAGGGAGGGATATAGAGGAGGAGTGTGTCGGCGGCGGCGGCGGTGGGGAGAGGAAAGAAGAAGAAGAAGAAGAAGAGAGGAGGAGGAGGAGGAGGGGGCAGGAATACATTTTTTTTTTCTTACACTATTCAGATTTTTCATTTTTTCACCCCTGCAAGAGAGAGAAAGAGAGAGAGAGGGGGGGAAGGAAAGAGGAAGAGAAAGAGCTACTGTGTGCTTTGTCTGCAGCCCCTGCCGTTCCTTTTCCTGGTTTCCTTTCTGCTCCGGCTCTCCTCTATTCAGCCTATTTTCTGCACGTGCACTTGAACTCTAAATCCTGTCTGCTTTCCCCTCCCCTCGCTCGCTCTCGCTCTCTCTCTCTCTCTCTCTCTCTCTCTCTAACTGCGCATCTGTGTGTCTCTGCCTCGCTCGCTCCCTCCCTCCCTCCTTCCCTCCCTCTCTCTCCCAGGCAGAGGCTTGAAATAGTGCTAGCAGGCAGGAGAGCACGAGGGGAGGGAAAAGGAGAGGGCGAGGGGGACAAAAAGGGGAGAGAGAGAGAGAGAGATGTTGAGAGGGGGGGAGGGGAAGAAGCTTAGACGGGCTGACACACACACACACACACACACACACAGAGCTGCTGTGTGAGCGCCGACCAACATGTCTGCACGTTTGTAAACACACATTCATCCACCAGCGTTGCGCCGCCGCCGCCGCTCATCTGCAGGAGATGCTGCAGAGAAGAAGAAACGCACGACTTCTCCAGGACGGTTCAAATACCGAAGTGTCAAACTAGACCTGAACTACTTTAAACTACACTTTGCAGGCAATCAGTTTGCCCTCGTTAGTGAGTTATCGGTTAATTGTCCTCCAAAGTGATGCCTTCAACCTGCTCACCCCCTGAATGGATTCAACTTTATAGAGTTTATAGCTGATGATTTACGCTCCTGACACCGAACTGCTCTGTTTGAAGTTTAAATTATTCTGCAGCTTTTATATTTTATGTTTCGTTTAGTGTTTTTATTCTTCCTTCCTTCTGTTTGTTGTAAAGCGCTTTTTAAGATTGGTTTTAATTTGTGCTGTGCAAATAAACAATAATAACATAGTAATAATAATATAATAATAAATTACAGTGAAATGAGTTGAGGAAAATCATCAAATAATAAGAAGAAGAAGAAGAAGAAAAAAGAAGAAGAAGAATATAAGAATAATAAAATAATAAATTGGGTGGAGTTAATTGAGGAAAAGTATTAAATAATAATAATAACAATAATAATAATAATGATAATAACAACAATAATAATGATAATTATAATTATAATAATAACTTAGAGTGGAATGAGTTGAGAAAAAACATCAAATTTGTCTAATTAGGAAGCTGCTATTAGCAAAAGTTTAGCAAATATCATTTTGATTAATTAATTTCATGTTTAAACACGTCTTCCTGATGTTTTTATTTATTTTTAACATGAGTGCCAATCTGTAATCATGATACACAAGAGTTTATAGATAACTGTTGGTATTTTGAAGCAGAAAATTAATTGATTAATTGAACAACAAGTTTGCATAAAGGCTACAGAATTTAGATAAACAATTAATTGTTCCCTTTGCTGCTCATAACTCCTTTTCACATCACTGTAGACTTCAAGCTTGTTCGCTGCATCACTTAGAATAAGTGAGAAAACTTTGCTCCTCGTTAGTGTAACTGGCATCTGTCTTTACATTTTCTAAACTAAATCATCTACAGACTGTAGTTTGATTTCTGCCACAACTATAAGATGTAATAAACTAGAAAAATACAGTTTAATAGTTTGCATGATTTGCAGTGTTGCTGAATCATTTATCATTAACAGATAAGAGTTTCAGGTTAGGGCTGGGTTGTATCCTAAGCTGCACGATAACGCCGGTGTCATGTTAGGGGATGATATGAAATTGAAATATCACAATAAAATGTGAGTGAAAGGTGCAGTGCTGTTGTCTTTGTCTGGCCTAATGCACATGGAGTGAGAAGCAAAGCATGGTGGCGACCGAACGCAGTGCATCAACCGACACAGTAGGGCTGGACCTGGATATCAGAATATTGTGCTGGTGTCAGGAAAGCAATTTTGAAATCCGAATATTTGACCCCCACCTGCTGCTTCCCTTCCCCTCGTCACCACTGCTGCCACCTGATGGTGGAAACAGAACTGTGCCGCTATCCTAAACTGGCATTAGCAGCCGAGTACTGCCTGTGCTTCCCGCCCACTTCCACCCCATCGCTCCAAATATTCATTCAACTGACGTGTTGGTGAGACTAAAGAAACCGGCTGCAAACTTTTCTATTGCAAAGCAGCTCTACTGTACTTATGGATACTTTACATTGTTATGCTCAGGATTTGTCAGCCCATTTCCATTTGAAATGCCTTTTAAATAAACAAATTGTCAGAAAGCAATTTACAACTGATGCAGCTTCTTGCTAAATGGAAAAGAAACAGTTCTTTTCAAAACAAATTTGCACCAATAAAGTTGTGCAATTTTGAAGTATTTTGTCTGGCATTAGTTATATCGTTATCGCAAATGTTCTAATATATCATGATAAATATTTTTGGCCACGTCACCCTGCCCTGGTGTTAAATATGAAGAAAACACTGCAATCAGAGCAAACAGAGGCCCAAGATGGCCGCTGAAGCGATCCTTAACCAGTGATTAAAGAACCACGTTTTATTTTCCAATTAGTCATTTAGGCTTTAAACACATCTCCCTGTCATAATTAATTATTTTTAGTGCACCGCTGTAATCATGATATGCAGGCTGCAGACTGAGCTCAGGTTGCATTTAAAGGTAACGGTTGGTGTTTTTAAATGTTTTCATTAATTAGCACTAATTCATCAGAAAGGCCACATAATTCTGATAAACAACTAATCATTTGTTTGTCAATTTGTATTAAAAAAAAATCTTTCTGTGTTACGTCATTAGAGACTTTGAGCTCCATCAAAACTTGCTCCTCATAACTTTAAATATTCAAATAATGTCAGACTAATAAAGAACACTTGCAGCTGTAGTTTGACGTCACCAGCCTCAAAAATGCTTTCAAGAAACACAACAAACATGTTTTGCAGTGTTACTGCGATTCACAGGTTACTTGCAGACAGCGTGGCAGGTAAACAGGTAAATGTTATACCTGTTATGGTGTCAGCAAATGAGGCAAAAGGGAAAGAAAGGAAAAGGAAGAATGTGGTCACATGTGAGCTGTGTTTGGACAAAACTGCAATTTGTGTAAAATATGAATAAAATACTGATAATAGCCAGATTTGTTTTTAAAAGGCAGCAATCGTCTGAGCAAACAGAGGCCTAAGATGGCCACTGAGGCCATATTTAACTTTCAATTTCAGCTTTAAAACAGCTCCCTGTCATTTTTATGGATTTGTAATGTCAGTGCAAAGCTGTAATCATGACATGCATGCAGCAGACTTCGCTTACATTGCATTTAAAGATAATTGCTGGTATTTTTAAAGCTAAAAAGTTGATTAATTGATCAGCAAAAAGGCTGCATAATTCTGATGAACCATCATTGGATTCTTTTACATTTTATAAATTAAATAATCGAAGCTGCTGCTGTTTGATTTCACTGGTCTCTAATGTAAGACAGGATTCAACAGGAATAGAGTTAAACATTTTGCTGAATCATCTACAGTCCACAGGCTGCAGGAACACAGGTGATCTAGTAGCTTTAGCTTTGCAATAATGTGATTTTTTAAAAATGTTTTGACTGTAATGATGCCAAAAAAGAGAAGAGCAGAGAAGGAGAAGAAGGCAGGTAATCAGTCACATGTGTTGTCTTTAGACAAAACT